GGGGGGGGGGGGGCAATAACTGGAAAATAGTAAAAGGCGACAGTTTCAAATAAATCAACGTAAGGGCTTCAGCAAAGCAGGGACCAAGAGGAAATATAAATTTTCCAAAGTCGCCTGTAATGTGCCTCTTTGGGTGATGCAAAGTGTCCATAAAATGGCAGCCAGAAGGCGTATCTCAGTTATTTCAAGATTTTACTTTCTTTACGTGAATCCTGAGAATGTCTGGTGCATTTGTGATACTGAGAGGCGTCGGCTGCCTTGGAGATGACCGAATCCCTCATTCCCAGGGTCAAAGGTGAGGGAGGCGGGCTCCCCCAAATAACACTCCCTGTTCGCCTGCGCGCACCCTCAGAGTTACGCAAAAATAACGGAGGGGACGGGTTCGCGCTCCCCTGCGCACCTACGAGGGGCTTAATCAAATCGTTGCAACAGCCCACAGCGTCAGCTTCATTTCTTTCACCCCTTGGTGGCAAAAAACAGCTTTGGACGGTTCACGGCGACCCTGATAGAGCCTAAGTGGAACCCACAAGACTGACTTCATGTCCACTTTCTCGGCCGGAACGTTGTCGTCCAGAATAATAACCCTCGGGGCTCACAGGGGCCTCCCTACGGCACCTCCCGCCTGGTAACGGGCCCAGCGCTCCCGGTGGCCCGGCTCAGGCCTCGGGGCCGCGAAGGCCTCCGCTCCTCCCATTTCAGGGGAGGAAACGGGGTAGGTAGCTGGTAGCCGATGGCTCTTGATTCAAACCACCTCTCACCCATTTTACACGCCATACGGATCCTCAGCGCGGTGTTGAGTCAGGTTGTTTTTTTCCTGGCGTAACGCGTTCGGATATTTCAGCGTAAACGGAGAACATCGCTCCAGCCGTGTGAGTGTGTTTGGTTCGGGCCCGGGTCGTACCCCTGAGGGACGCCCGTGGGAAGGTAAACAGGCATTAGAGGGACACACATGGGCCCCGATTATTTTGGCGGGGGGGGTTGTCCCCAGTACATTAGTCTGGGCCTGAAGTGTCCTACGGCTGGTTCAGACTAGAAATCATCAAATAGCAGGAGGCACAAGCCAGAGGTTCTTTCCAAAATAGCATGAAAACCCCATCTCGGCCGGGGAGATGCCGACAGCCCTCGCGGAGCGTCCCGAGTGTGCCCCCTGCAGCCTCAGTCACACACACTATTGGGAGCGTCCATTCGTCCCCTCCCGTGTGGTCTGGAGCCTGCGGGCAGTGACTGTCCCGCCGTACGTGGCCGTCTGGGAGCACAAGGCAGCCAGGACCCAGGTCCCAGGTAGGCCTAGAGGAACATGTTTCGTCTTTGCCTTTTGTGAACTGGTTTTGTTTGTTTTTTTTTCTTTCATCGGGGGGTGCTCAGTTCCCCCCTATCTTAAGATGCCGAAGATGACACCATCTTACGGGCAGAAGGAGGCGATGATCTGAACCGACTTCTGATGAAAGTGAAAGAAAAAAAAAGGCCAGAGAAAGACTGTCTCTGAGCATCAAGGAGACAAGATTCACGACCACAAGAGAAACGCACGCCTTCCACACAGACAAGGAAGACCTCGCCACTCTTAAAGATTTTGCTCAGTTTGGCTCAGTCATCAGTTCAAACGGGGACTCAGCCAAGCGCTGAAGGGAAGGCTGAGACGGAAGGGCAGGTTAGGAAAGGTCACCAAGGGCAAAGACACGTCACTCGAGACCAAGGCCGAGACCACCACAGTCCTGTCTTCCACTTACTATGTCCAGGTGGGAAAGGTGGGCAAGCCCGGCCAGCGTGGCTCAGCGGTTGAGCGTCAACCCAGGAACCAAGAGGTCCCGGGTTCGATTCCCGGTCAGGGCACAGGCCCAGGTTGCGGGCTCAACACCCAGCCGGGGGCGTGGGGGAGGCAGCCAATCGATGACTCTCATCATTGATGTTTCTCTCTCTCTCCCTCTCCCTTCCTCTCTCTGAAATCAATAAAAACGTATTTTTTTAAAAGCTGGGCAAGTCACCTGGCTTTCTAATTGCCTCGGCTCCCCCTCTCTCCTCCCACCACACTCCTGTCCCTCCGCCTTTCCCTGCCTTGGTTAACGGCGCCTCGATCCAAACGCCTGCTCAGTCTAAGCCCAGCCATCAGTCTCATCTCCCTGCGTCTCCTCTGCACCCCCTTCCCCCCGTAAGTGAACATCGTGGGGAGCTGATCTTCAAAACAGGCCTTAAATGCAATTACCTCCAACCACGGCTTCTGTTGTTACGCTGGTTCAAACCGCGATCGCCTCTCCCGTGCATTACTGGACCGTCCACCCGGTCTCCCCGGCTCCGCGCACCCCCTCTCCCCCCACAGCCCGCTCTCCGCAAAGCAGCAGGCATTTAAACTATGAGGCATGTCGTCTCACTTTCTTGCCTGGAGTTCTCCGATTGCTTCCCGCTAAGTTCGCACCCGCCTCCCGATCCACCGCACTCACGCGCCGCTTAATGACGGGAAAACGTTGACCCCGCCATTGCGTGAGCACCCCAGAGAGCGCTTACACACACCTCGGGGTCGAGCCCCTGCACACCGAGGCCGCGGGGTGCCGTCCGCTGCTCCCGGGCTCCAGGCCCCTGCTGCGTGTGACTGTGCTGAATACTGTAGGCGACTGTAACAGAACAGTAGTAACAGATTGTAACAGAGTGTCTCTAATGTATCTAAACACATGACAGTAAAAATACGGCCTAGCCTGGCTGGCGTGGCTCCGTGGTTGAGCGTCGACCTAGGATCCAGGTGATCGGGGTTCGATTCCTGGTCAGGGCCCAGGCCCGGGTTGCGGGCTCGACCCCCCAGTCGGGGGCGCGCAGGAGGCAGCCGATCAGTGACTCTCATCACTGACGTTTCCCTCTCTCTCCCTCTCCCTGAAATCAATAAAGACATATTTAAAAAGACATACGGCCTAAAAGATAACAAATGGTGGCCCTGTACAGGGACTGACCGTGCACGGCGCCCGCGGGACTGGCAGTTGCTCTGGGCGAGTCACGAGCGAGGGTGAGTGAATGTGGAGGCCCAGGGCATTACCCCGCACAGCTGCGGACTCTACAAACACCGGGCACTTGGGCTACACTGAGTTTATAAAACAACAGGAGGTTAGATCAGGACCTGACACACCTCAAAGCCCTTCAGCATCCACTCTTATTTTTGCTACTTGCAGTAACACAATGAAGACCGTAGGAAAAGTAGTGTTATCCCCTTTACTACGGATAGAGGCACCGAGATATGAGAAATTACAGGATTTGAGATGCTCGCGACACAACATAGGGACAGCACCGTGTCACTCACTCCCCACATTACCACCGTGACGGCCGTGACCATGTTGAGTCTGTATCCTGGACGTGCCCGTGATCTACTGGGTGACGTTAAGGCTCCTGGCTCGGCCCGAACCTCGTATCCCAAAGGAGAGGCTACGCAGAAACGTCTGCTTTTCACACATTCACAGTCAAACTCTTTTCATTATAAAATTAGCTCTTGGTAGTAATTTTGCGCGTTTGTCATGGGTGGTCTGAGACTTGGGTGGGAAAATTGGGATCAGACGAAAATGAGAGGTATCTGAGCAGGAAGTTTCCCAACTGCTCTGAATATATAATGAACACATTTGGGGATGTGCGGTCAGGCCCGAGGAAGTTGGGCCAAACGTGCCAAAGAGGTTGCCTCTTTTTCAAATTTCTTTTCTTTTCTTTTTTTTTTTGGACTCTGTAAAGGACAAACCTTCTTATGAAGTTAGATTTTCTCATTTAAAAATCTAAAATGCGCCCAGCCGGGCATGGCTCAGCGATTGAGCATCGACCTGGGATCTAGGCGATCAGGGTTCAATTCCCGGTCAGGGCACATGCCCGGATTGCGGGCTCGATCAATGACCCTCTCATCATTGATGTTTCTGTCTCTCTCTCTCCCTCTCCTTTCCTCTCTCTGAAATCAATAAAGATAGAAAAAAATAAATAAAATTAAATTAAAAAAATAAAAATCTAAAGTGCTTTAGCTTTCTCTTGGTTTGTAATTCTGTCTGGAGTGTGTAGGCCGCATTTCCTACAAGCGAGTAAAAGCTAAACATTGGTACATCCAGGATTTCCCAAGAACGTATGTGATTTATGTAGAAGAAAGTAAAAAGAACTCACGATGTTGGGTTTTATTTTTCATGTGGAAAAGGGGAGAAAAGTAGGCTGGGCTACTATTGTC